AAAAAAAAAATGCTGGCCAAACATTTAAGATTCTGACATGGTGGCAATATCTGTGTGCACATTTTGCCAAAGCCATGAACTGAAGCCAAGGACCAAACAACACACAGCCAAGGTTCCTAGTAAGAAAGGATTGCAAAATCTATGAATCTAATCTAATTCTAATTTCTGTTTAGTCTTCTGTTGAGAAAGATAATGTGGTAACTTCAGCAAGATTTTATCCAATTTGTGATGGGTAGGTCAGAGTTCATTCCACCAGACTGCTAAATTTAAACTTACTGTCATTTCTTACAAACGACTTTAAAGAGTTACTTGAACAGTACTCACCACAAAGCTGATTTCACTGTGAAAAATCAACAAGAATTTAATTCCTTTTGCCCGGGGTGGACATTAACCTTTAGTATTCCAATGGAGGCATAATAAATAAACTGCTGATATTGTGTTCCCTCCAGGATCCAGCCATGAAAATACATGGTAGGGATTTTCAGAGCAGTTTGGGGTGGAAAAAAGGAATTTTCTCTTTCATCCAGTGCCTGACTTCTCAGTTGAGGCAGGACAGAGCCATTGTGTTTGGGCTCTTGCAAAGCCAGATCGCATCATCCCTCTATGTGGCTGTTTTATTAGCAGCTTCACAGTTCACGTCTTTGTTGTCCTGCAGCACAGTAAGGAAAGGGTGACGAAAAGTGAGCTCAATAAAGGCCTTTCAGGGAGCATTTCTGAGTTGGTCATTGCCGTCTGCCCTCTTCTCGCCCCTTGCTTTTCAGGCTATTCACATTTTGTAAGAATCTTAGGTTTCTGATTGGGTGTGGCATGGACACTGTGGGTAGATACGAAGAAAGAAGTGGAGGTGAGCAATATTTCAAAGAACGAATTTTGAAGGAAAGAGAAAAAGCCTGCTTTTCTCTAAGGCTCTATAAAACATAAAATATGAAGCATTAGGATTGTTTTATTTTAGTTTAGTTCTTAGTGAGTCTGCTGTTTTCTTGATTTTTGAAACCACCAATGTTTTTCCCTTAAGACTTGGGTCATTTTGGAAATAGAGACCAGGACTTGATGCTGTAAATCAATTATTTCCAACATGACAAGTGTGCATCTTTCCTGTCTCTTGCATGTGTCTTGGTGCAGGTGTGGTTTTATCTTGTTGAAAACCTTTTGTCCTGCTTTGAGCAGTGGGATTGTGCTGTTATCAGCAGAGCCAGTACCAGGCAGAAAGCTTTCGGTATAGGCAGTTTCTGTTCAGGACACCTGCTGCTCGAGCACAGTGCAACCATTGTTTCTCCCATCAAACATGTTCTGGGGAGAACCATGTCTTTTTTAGCCTAAGGTTGAGTCTTTACTTTTTTCCTGCATGCATTTCATTTTTGGTGGAACACATTTGTCTTGTTCTTCTGATTTTGATGATATGAATTTAACATGTGCATGTGATTTGCACAAACTATTTTCAGAGTGCATGTTGAAAGGTTGTAGTGGTGGCAAGAGCAGTTGGTCAAAGAGGAAGCAGGTGATTTGAACTCTCATCCTGGCTCTGCTGGCTGTGTGGCTTAGGGGAAAGACATTTTACCTCTCTGGGCATGGGCTGCCTGGACCGATAGATTGCCAAGGCCCCTGGTATTATGACTCTGCCATTGATTGTGTTTTGTATTTTTTGGTTTGCTAACAGCATCAGAAAGGGAATGTGGCAGGGGTCTCTAAGGCCCCAGTGCTCCTGTGAAACCATTAAGTAACACCAGGAGGTGCTGTTTTAATTAAGCGTCAATTATATGGTGTGGCCAGTGGTAGAGAAGTTTGGATGCGATCTTCTCTTCTCTCTGGGGCAAGTTTGCAGGATAAAAAAGAAAAACTTCTTATTTCTAGGTAAGTGCTATTGCTCAGCCCTGGAAGTATTACTGGATGCTTGGATTTTGAACTTCTAGATTAAGAATTACCGAATTCAGATAAATGAACACTTCTTAATTTATTAACTCTTATTGTTAGATAAGAGGTGATGCACAGATCAGTCTAATATAGCATAGATGTCCCATTTCTTTTTTCTTTTTGGCTGGCCGGTATGGGATCCGAACCCCTGACCTTCGTGTTATCAAGTGAGTTAATGGCCAGCCCCTCATATCTATTTGTATTGCCACACTCTTAGAAAAAAAAAATCTTATTTTAAAATGTTCTGATTCTATATGCACCACTTAGGTATTGTAGAAAATTTGGAAATACAAATAGCTTCTAATTCTATAACCCAGAAATGCTGTTCACACTTTGGTGCCTTTGGATTATACACAGTTTGTAGAACAAAATTGGGAGTATACCATACATATATAACTAGATATCCTGCTTTTTTCCTGCTGTGTTCCTTTTGAGATGATTTTTGGGACTGAGGTTTCAAAGAATGTAGAGATTAATGTAATATTATGTTTGGCACACTTGTGACTGGGACTGTTTTGACTTACAGAAATAGAATTCTGGACCTGGTATATGAAAATAACATTTGTCCTGTTCCCTCTTAAATGGGCTTTCAATATTTAGCATAGATACATATTGTCATAACTATTACTATCATTAACAAATGGAGACTTCCTAACCTATTAGCTCTTGTTGTTCACTAATTGCTTTCATAAGATTCCCTTTCTGAGTTTTCTATGCCAGAATTGCTAGCTCTAACATCAGTCAGCATAAGTTATTTTAACACTGTTTTTCTGGATGCCTTGATTCCTGAAGCTGAAACATGGTAACTAGTGTTAGGCTGGGCCACATGTTTGGCAGTATGATAGTTAAGGGGTTCCTTTTGCCTGGATATATTATATATTTGATAATATTTATGATTTATTTTTTGAATAATGGTTTCGTGTATAATTCCCTCTGTTAGGAAATGGAAGATTATTAGTTTCCCCTTTGGACT